TGCCTATAAAGCACTCATATTAATTTTGTGTCTTCCTTGTCAGGATGTCTTTCATCTTCCACATTTTGTTTAATTATGATAGTACTGCATTTGACAGCAGAAAAGGAAATGTTTATTTTTTTTAATTACTATATGTCAGATAACACAGAACTGCTTTCTCATTTTATCTGTACACATAGGTCATTAAGAATGGTTATTAAGCATGGTCATTTTTATAATTTAGGACACTAAAATACAGAAAGGTTAAATAAAGTGTCTAGTCAAACACAGGGACACTTTTCAGACTTTACCATTAGGTATTTGAATGTAAATTTTGATGAGTTTTTAATTAGCATATCTTAAGAGAGATTAGTAATATATGTAAAATAACGTTAAATATATATATATTATATATTGCTTTAAAAGTTTGACAATAAGAAGCACAAATTTGTGCTTGCCTTGAGCTGAAGAGCACAGGGACAACGCCCAGGCCCAAAGTTCAAGCCCCATGACCAACCAAAACAAAACCAAAACCCAAAACAAAAAAACAAAAAGAAGCACAAATTGGATGCTGAAACAATAGGACAGGGGTGTAAGAAGGAGAATAATAACAATAGAAACAGGCTTTTTAGATACTGGAATTATTAGATAAGATTTAAAAAATCTTTAGAAGTTGTTCTATCAAATTATACTCCAGTATCTGTTAATCATTCTTTCTATACTTTTACCCTTTCCTAGATATTTCAACACAAAGAAATGATGTTTGAGATGATTCATGTGCTAAGTACACTGATTCTTACGCATCAGCTACATGTATTAAAATATCACACCATACTTCAAAAATATATTAAATTATTAATTTCCAACTAAAATTTAAGAAAACACTTTTAAGCCAGTCATATAGTTACATACCTGTCATCAGAGCACCCAGAAGGAACATGAATTTGGGACTGCCTAGACTTTTTAGCAAGACCTTGTCTCAAAATATATAGAGAGATTCTGTTTATTTATTTATTTTTTAATTTTATTGTAAAGGTACAGAGGGGATTCATTACATAAACCAGGTAATGAATACATTTCTTTGGAAATAGTGTCACCCCATAAATTCCATTTTAACACACATATTCGGAACACAACTACATTTGTCATTTTTAAATAACTAAAAGCTAAGCTAAAAAATGTTAAGACCTGCTTTCACTGTATTTGATGTTGGTATAATTTGTGGAGGGGAAAGGCAAAAACAAATCGCTTAACGAGGGATACAGGTGGACCCATTGCAACAATGAGATGTACAAGTCCTTATGTCGAAAAACGAACTTTACAACTTTGGTGGGGGTAAGGAGGATCGGGTGGGGGGAGGTGAGGGAGTATGGGAAGGGATGCGAAGGGGAAACAAACAGGAGGCAACAATGCTTGATAAGAAATGTACTCGTTATCTTGCCCATGTAATTGTAACTCCTCTGTACAATATTCTCACACACACACAAAAAAATGTTGTTAAGGACCAAAGAATACAAACTAGTATTCTTTTTTTTTTATTGTGAACATACCATACAATTACATGAGCAAGGTAATAAGTACATTTCTTATCAAGCATTGTTGCTCCTCCTTTGTTTCCCCTTAGTAAAGAAACAAATAACAATTTTAGAATGAAAAGCATAATTAAAATTTAAAAGGGGTTTCATAGACTAGACACAGTGGAACCAAGATAATATAGACTATAGGAAACAAGTAAAAGACTATTCTGAATAGAGAGGTAAATGAAAAGTACAACAGAGAATAAATAAACAGCATAAACTTTTTCTAACATTGTTTCATTGGAGTCCAACAGGAGAAACGAGAGAGATAGGGCAGAGACAATATTGGAAGTAAGAAGGTAAAGAATGTATGCTCTTCCCAAGCTTTTCCCATTTCCACATGAAGATACTGTTTTACTAAAACTATAATTATTTTTGATAAACCTATCTTTCATTAACATTATTTTAGGACATTTTTAGATTTATAGCAAAATTGAGTATACATACAGAATTCTAATATACTCCTAGCATCACCATCCACTGCCAATACCCCTCAGTAGAGTAGTACATTTGTTACAAATGATAAAGGTTATATTAATGCTTCATTTTTATCCAAAACCCATTGTTTACATAAGGTTTATTCTTGGTATTATACATTCTTTGCGTTGGACAAATGTGTAATGGTATTAATACACCAAAATAGTCTCCCTACCCTGAAAATCTTTTGTGTTTTTCCACCTCATTCTCCCCTCCACACATTCCCTGACGAAAGATTCTTTTACATTTATCTTTTTAACATAATACCTGAAACTTATCTACCCCTCCACCCCCCACACATATAGGTGTTTTCATATATGGTTGAACGAATGAAAGAATGAAGGTAGTAATTGGAGAGAATTAGGACATCATATCATTGTCTTACCAACTGGTGTTTTGTCTGCTTTAATATTTATACTTTACTATGCCACTCGGAAGATTATTCCATCTACTCTGACATATCAAGTCAATACATATTGTCTATTAAACATTTTTTAAAAATGTGCCCTAGGCACTTTAAGGTTTATTTTATGATTGATCTACTTAATTCAATGTGTTATACTTGAATTTTGTTTCATGATTCCTGGTGAGATTGAATTGTATTTTTATATGGCTGGCAATTTTATGGGAATTCATCCTCTTGATTTTTATGAGCAAGAGGTGCCTTCACAAAGTACTGCTGGTTTATAAAGAATTCATAGTTTTAGCTTTTTTGCCTCTTTTTAGCTGCCTAAGACAGAAAATTATTGGGAACCAATTAAAAACATAATAGAGAAGTAAACTTTTTACAGATTTGAGTTTGCAACAGCTTTTTTCTAAAAAGCTATAGAGAATTGCCAAATTATTGTTAAAATAATATATAACATTTCTATGTGCTAGCAGAAGTTATTCATAGAACATTTACCATCCTTTTCCAAGTATTTAAACATTCCAAAACTGGTGTTATTTTGTTTTAATATAAATTTAAGAATAAAATGTTACATATAATGTTCATTTTCAAGGTATCTTTGTTTTGTCTTTTTACACAAACTATTTTTGAATCTTTTCATTGTCTTTAAGTGGTTGTACAAAAGAGTTGCCATTCAACAAGGCAGCTTATAAATATAGTGCATCTTGATCAGTGTTACCCCCTTCAGCACTCTCACTCAATCTTCTGAACCCATCCCTTCTTCTCTTTTAATTTTAGGTTCTGTATTGAATTGTTTTTTGCCATGTAACAAAACAGCTTATTTAAGTATACAATGCACCTTGATCTGTGTGATCCCTTCAACATCTTCACCCTCCCCACTCTGATTTACCCCAGAAATGGAAAGAGTTTGAAAAAACTGTATTAAGCCAAATAAGCCAGACCCAGAGAAACACATTGTTTTCCTTAGTTTTGTAGCTAAAATGTGCCTATAAATCTATAAGTAAACATATTGGATTGTATGCAAGTGATTACAAACGAATTAAATGAAGTATAATAGACAGTATGGAGAGCTCAAATAGTGTAATTCTCTAGAAAGACTAAGTCAAAGCCCAACAAAATAAGTACCAGGAAATGGATACTTGCAAGAGAGGAGAATGAGCCAATGGGATAGTGGTAGAAGAATGAAGGGGGAAGAATGCAGGCAAGAATTCATTGTATATACAACAGAATTAAAACGATTTCTTACTCCCATAATCAAATACTAGGCGAGATTTGAAATTTTATTCATTTAATATTGACCATATATGATGATCTTTTATTTTTGCAGCTAAAAATGTCTCTTGTTTCCTTTTTTTGGAGTTCATTTCATAGATTATTACTTTATATGATCATCTGCACATAGCTATTGAGCTTTTGTCGACTACTCCTATGTATATCCTCCTTTGGTTTCAGTGTGTGAATGTCTAGAGTCCTATATAATTTATCATGTCCCATTGTGTGTACATATTTTAATTATTCCGTATGTTTACTTGTAGATTTATAGGCACATTCTAGTTACCAGAAATGAGAGAAACCATTTGGGATAGGCCTGAGGACCAATGAAACAGAATAGAAGACCCAGAAATAAGCCCACAAACATATAGCCACCTAATATTTGATAAGGGAGCTAGAAACACAGGCTGGAAGACAGTCTCTTCAACATATGGTGCTGGCAAAATTGGCTGTCTTTGTGCAGAAAACTGAAGCTAGATACTCACATATCACCTTGCACCAGATTCAACTCTTCATGAATCAAAGACCTCAATGTAAGGCCATATGCTGTGGAAATATTACAAGAAGGGATAGAGGAAACCCTAGGCCTTTGAGGCATGGGGTGAAACTTCCTAAATAAAGATCTAGAATCACAACAAATCAAAGAAAGACTAGGTAAATGGGATTATATCAAACTGAAGACCTTCATGACAAAGGATATAGCTAGCAAGATGATATTCTTATCTAAAGTAGTGAGTTTGTCAGTTTGCACAAAAGACAGTTCTTTGTGAAAGTTCCATTCATTAGGGATGCTCTTCTAAAATTTCTAAAATTTGAGGCATTTCTGGGAAAAGTTATTTGAAGGGGCTTGAAACTGGCCTTTTAGGAATCAGGGAGCTATGAAATTCTTACTTAGTGAAGACCAACACTGATTAGAAAAATTATGAGTAAAACTTTGGTCCAATCATATTGTAAATTCATATTCCTTTTTACTAAAATTAAATTTTGTTCATATCGTAGTTGTAGTCTGAAGAGCTATGATCGATTATCTTTCATTATGAACTAAATTATATTATCCTTTCTCTTTAGAACAACATCACTGGGTATAACATTTATCATCTTAAAAGAAAACAAAACATTGAATAAATATTATCTTTAAAATAGACCACTAAGCATGTTCTTCATTATGATCTTCTAATTGATACCAATTTTTCATTGAAGTCAATTTGTGTGCAGGAAGTAATTTCAAGTCTTAAAAAGGTAAACCGAGTGATTTAGTTCATGACAAGTTCTGTTTTCATTCACAGATAATTCCTCTGAGGTAGCAATTATTGCTCCAGGAACTAGTAACCATAGAAACAGTTCAACAGGTCCAACACCTGACTGCTCACCTCCATCCCCCGATACTGCCCTCAAGAATATTGTAAAAGTCATTAGACCACAGGTAAGTGCAAACAATGACATTGTCTGCATGGTAATGTATTGTTTTTAAATCGATGCAGATTCATCACTTACTTTGCAACGCCCAGATTATTATATGCGATGCAATGTATTTTTTAAGTTAAGAAACTAAAAAGAGGCAGATTGCGTCCCATGAAGTTGACAATAGACACTGAAATAAATATTAGCTGTTGGAAAAGTGATCTTGCATTTATAAGAAGAAACAAGAGAAGTTTAGAAAATGGCTATTTCATATTTTTCTCTCACAACATTATTGAGTTGTTAAAGTGTTCTGAGGTTTCCTATCATTTTTTCTTTATTCTTTTGGTCAAGCTGCATTATTTGTGCTCATTTTTATTTACCATTCTGCACCAGTGTGTGTGTGTGTGTGTATGTGTTTAAATACATTTTTCTTTAAGTGTTCTGTTCCTTATGGTTTCTAATAATATTCTCTGTTTGGTATTACACCTCTCATTGCTCCTTATTTTCTCCAGTGTTCCTCTCTAGTTTCTCTACCCTTTGTTCTTTTTTCCATTTCTGTCATTTGTCTGTATGGGTTTCTTTTCTTCCCCCTTCCTTTCAGTTGGATTTCCCAGTAGGCGGTTTGCAGGCAAGCTTTAGAAATATCATTGGGACAAGCTGTTCTGTGATATTTCATTGAAAAATAGCACTTATAAAGCTGTTTGCATTACAATTTTGCCAACAGATGGACCCAGAACATGGAATTGTTGGTGTCTCAACCTAGCTCATTCTGAATGGGCTTCATCACATGTAAGAGAGAGAGAGAGATTAGGACCCTATCAATGCCATTTACTCTACTGAGACATATAGTATGAATATGACCCTTCAGACAATCTGTAGGTCAAATTTGTCTTTTAAGATTGTTTAAGTGAGCAATGAGTTGTCAAATATCTTACCTCCTCTAATATAACTAATTTGGGATAATTTTATTATAATCCTAGATTCATCAGTAAAATGGTATTTCAATTTCACATGTCCACTATAGCATGTAGAATACTTCATGCAAACTATTTCACTCACCTTCATCATTTCCAAAAGAATTTATAATCTAGTGTTGTAGATAAGGTTGCTGCTCTAAGAGGCTGTTCTGTCCAACTGATTCTGAGTTTCTAGTTCTCTTTAGTTTAATAGCTATCTTTTCCAGTTCTGTTCAGAAGTTGTACAGCTTGATACATCTTTATGAGTATAGAACTTATAAGTAAAAAGTTGTTTAGACACAGATAGCACTTTATAGTACCCTATAATGAGGAAGAAGGTGTTTTTTAACATTCCCTTTCTTTTCAGAGAAATTTGATCTATTTGATTCAAGAAATACATCTTATCATAGGGTCGGATCTGGAATGTCGCATGTGTTATCATTGGTTCGCATCCTATAAGGATATTGCTACTATTGTTATGAATTTATTATAGTTTCAGCATCTTAAAACTATTTGGGAAAGACAATATCCTATATAAGATAAGAAAATTCATCACTAAATATTGATATAGTCAGTAATACTAAGTGTGCTTCCTTCAATGAAGGAAAAGCAGATGTGTATGAGATATTATTCCATAAATCTTTCTCTGCATTATTTTGTTTTATCTCAATTCAGGTTAGTTTATTTTGGTAAACTTTAATTAAAGCCCGAAACTCCACTTTTTACTCTATTCCTTGGTTCTCTCTGTTCCCTTTATCATTCTTGACATGCTTGATGGAGCTTCACATTCATTGTAGAGAGAAAGAAGTAGACTATTTCTGTGGACATATTATAATAATATTGGGGACAGGACACGTGGTTTTAGAAAATAATTTGGAGCCCAGAGGGTCTATACAGAGGTTTTATGAATAGATAGAATAAAAAACTCTCTCGTGTGTTCTGACAAGTATTAGGTGTGTTAATGGTGAAAAGTATTGTAAGCTCCTGTCCCAAAGAAAGATATTGGTTAGCTTATATACACTTATACAAGTGTATATTTTCATAGCAAGTTCAATTTTCTAAATCTTGTAAAGTGTTTGCTAATCTTGCTGAAGTTTGGGTAAGTGAAGTAAGTCAAGTCTCTTACCACAATGTTAGAGGGCTTTTGCCCTGCACTTAACTAGGACTGATGCAGATATCCTTGAGTCGCAGACACATGCTGTTAGGTAGCCCTGCACATGGCTCTGAGACGTGTGTGTGTGTGTGTGTGTGTGTGTGTGTGTGTGTGTGTGTGTAACCTTATGTGGCTATCTTGGCCAAATGACACTTTTGTCAGAGAGATTATACACAGGTACCATTGTTGTACAGGATGTTACTCCTGGAGGATAGGAGGCCATAAGCTGCCACAAGAGGGCAAAGGGCTAAATACATAACTGATGGACAGAATGTGAGCCTGTGGAGAGTGTACTGTTGTGGTTGATGAGTTTATGTACAGGAAAGATTATGAATAAAAAGCATGACCCTCCAACTTCACTCTGCCTAGCATCTTTCTATGTCCTGTCCAAATTAAAGGGGAATCAGAACCTGTAACATACTTGCTTTCTGTCTGGGACTGTGAAGAATATGAAGCTAGTTTCACTTGTGGGTATTCAAGTACTTTTATTCCCATTTAGTAATTAGAAACTAATGAAGTTGAACTTATGAGTTCACTTTTGAAACTGGTAATAATGCCTGTAATCTCAGATACCTAAGAGGCAGAGATGGGAAGATCATAATTCAAGGACATGGGCATTTTGGAAAACAAATTATGAAAACTCTCCCTCAAATAACAAGCTTGAGTCCTAGCTGCTCTGGTAATACAGATTATTGGTCTGAGGCCAGGAAACAGACAACCTAAAAATTAAAGCAGCAAGAGCTGAAGGTATGGCTGAAGTGGTTGAGCAGTTGTTTTCCTTTCAAGAGAAAGGAAAGAAAGAGAAGGAGAAAGGAAGGAAGGAAGGAAGAAAGGAAAGAACAGAAAGGAAGAAAAGAAAAGCAGGAAGGGGTAGGAATGAGAGAAAAGAAATGAGAGAAGGAAAAGAACAAGTGATGAGCCTCAGAAATAAAAGTATAAAAGCAAAATGTGTGGTTTTATATTTTCTGGGCATTAGCTGATGATTTTATCTTTTATTGTGGGAAGAATATCATTGAAGAGATGAAGCCTGAACTTGCATCTTACCCACTGAAAATAAATGTGGCTTAAGTAGCACAACTTGGACTATTCTTTTATGTTCATATTTTCCTTTATCTAGCTTACTTTTTCTATACCTGTGAATGGAGAATAGCTCTCATAACCAAAGAATTAATTCTTGTTTTCAGTATGAGATGGTACTAGTTTTGCATCGCATATGTTTCTGATTAGTGTGTTAATTACTTAAGGCTACAGACTTTCCAATGCTTTGTCAGGTTTGTTTTTATCTGGAATATTTATTAACTGGCTAAGTCACAGCTGTTAGTTCTGAATCCCTGTTTGATCTTTTCACCTTTGTTTCATTGGGTTCTTTCATGTTTTTAAAATCCTCCAGACTGTGAAACATTTTATTTTTAATTAATAGGAACTAAAATATTTATATGCTCTCAGCTTCTCTTTGTTTCAATTATACTAAACCTACAAGATTGATTTTCTCTATTTAGAAGAACCCACCAGCTGGGTTCCCTTACTTTTACTTGAAAATAGAATTATTTTTACATTTGAAAAAATACTTGAAGATATGTGGAAAAATTATCCTTGAAATAAATATTAGGTTGGTCTATTGTCATATGAATTCTCTTCTTTCTACTAAATAATTACATGTTACTTCACTTGGGTTTTTATTTTTAAGACTGAACCCAGAGTTTTGGATCCCAGGCTCAAACTCAAGAAGTTCCACTTGTCAGGTCTGACCATTAACCCCTGTATGCTAAATAAAGAGACATGGGGAAGGCAGATTAATTATATCGCACCCACAAGAAGACAATACTTTGTCCTGGAGATATAAACATTGGCCTTAGATTAAATGGAGGTGAGGGGAAGGTTGGAGGAATGGTTTGCAGAGGTGATAACCAGGTGGTTTAACAATCCACGGTCTCAGGATTGCGCAGATGGGGCCTTACTGTAGTTATTGACACCTGACAGGTAGTCTGGCCATTACTCCATTCCAAAATGGCTGTAAAGTAACTGGGAAGAGAATGACTCAGGACACAAACAGATAATGGAGAAGTCTGGAATGCCTAACTTTTATCCTGTTCCTAGTTAATTCATGGGCAAGTTAAGGAGTCAAAGTTTCTCTGCAAAATAAAGCAGTTTTTAGTACCCCTTTCAAATTGACACGTAAAACTGTAAACTGTACATATTTGCTATGGACAACAGGATGCTTTAAAATAAATAAATATATATATATACATATATATAATATATATCATGAGATAGTAAATCTAGATAATTAATAAACATATTACCTCACAGTTACCATTTTTATGGTAAGAACATGTAACACCCATCCACTCCCATTAAAATTTTCAACTATTACTGACATCAGCATAGTACAATAAATGTCTTGAACCTATTCCCTTAACTATAAATATGTATCCTTTGACCAACCTCCTCTCCATCTTAATTACCCACCCTCTGTTCTGTACTTCTATGAGATCTACTATTTAGATTCCGCAGGTGAATGAGATTATTCTGTATGTATCGTTCTGTGCCTGGCATGACATATCACCTCATTCCTTTCAAAATGGCTAAGGTTAACAAGTCTTGGAAGAGAGGTGAAAAAAATGGAACTCTTCTACACTATGAGTGGGGATATAAATTAGTATGGCCACTGTGTAAAACTGGAAAACTTAAATTACACCTACTATATGATTGATGTACTATCTGATCTAGCAATCTCACTGCTGGGTATATAGCTAAAGGAACTGAAATCAGTGTGTTGAAGAGACATGTGTACTTCCTGCAGAACTATTCACAGTAGCCAAGATGGAGAATCAATCTAAGTCTCTTATTAGTGGATGAATTGCTAAAATGACCAACTACTTAAATCACACCTGTAGTTCTTTATACTTTTAA